GTATGAGCGTTCATTCTTGGAAAAATGAAAAAAAAATTGAAAAATTGAAAAACACAAAAATAGTTGTTTATGGAGCACTTTTACAGCATAACATATGTTTCCTAAATTTGCATGTTGTGATCGTCTATGAGCTGAATTGATAAGATGTAGAATAATTTTCATTACTTGTTTAAATCACTTTGAATTACTTAGCATAGGTGTCTTCATGTACCATCTGCACTGCACACACTATGAATTTGTTAGTGGAACTCTATGGCGTGTGTAAGATTGTGATGGCTCACATATTAATAGGGCGACTTCGAACATGAGTTGACCTAATTTAGTAGACCGAAGCTCGAAAAGATTCCCCCATGTAAAAGCTCATTATTTTAATTTTCTTTTTCGGGCTTATTTGACTCGAGCAATTGAGCTTGAGGGTCTCTTAAAACCTAGTGCCTATAACAAATTGACTTGGGTTAACCGGCATAAAGCTCGTTACATGGGTCATCTCAACCACCTAATGGAGAAGAGCCTACACTTAAGATGAAAAAGAAATGAGCTTGAAAAATGTGAAAAGTATGATGAGCTGAAAAAATATGGAAAATTAAAAAATATAAATGCTCAAAGTAAGGGTGAGAAAAATAAAAAATAATAAGTGCATGTCGTACTGCACTTTCATGGTTTGACTTTCATTAGTAGGGAAACATAAATATTGGCAAGAGTCCTGGTTGCATTGGATTAGTGATGTTGGTGTTTCGATTTGCATCAATGTTGCTTCTCAAATTGGCATGTTGATTTGTAGTTAAGTGCTTTAACTTTTATGTTTCCTATATCACGTGCTTTTACACTAGGTATGCAAGTTTTTGGATTTTAGGAAACAGATACAACAAGGAATTCAAGATTCATTAATTGAGTATACTGGGTAGAATAGGTTTTTATTTTCTAATCCTGACTTTATTTGTATAGTTTTGTCACGAAATACCAAATGGGGAGTTTGTTAGATTTTATATTGTAATTGGCAATTCCGTGAACAAAAATGACTAAATTTAATATGTTGTAAAAGTTAAGGACTTGGGTTGCAATTTGTATAGATGGTTTAGGTTGTGGTTGAGTTTGGAATAAGGTAGAAGACTAGCCAAATTTTCGCTAATTGCTCGCCAAGGTGTTGCTCGAACAGAGGAAGCATAACCATCGTCGCCCACTTTTTACCCAGGCGTCGCTCGAATAAAGAAGCTATTGCTCACTTTTTGCTAGAGTGTTACTAGAGCGATAGTGTTACATTGCCAAACCCTAGGCCACATTTTTGAGAATTTCATATAGCCCAGGACACTTATTTACCCCAAGTATAAAAAGCAAAGTTTGGGACGTGAGAAAAGAGGGATTGCTCATTATGCTTTCACATCGATAACACTTTCATATCATTGTTCAAGAGATCCAAGGCACAATTCATTGCTGAATCCATCATATTCATTCTTGTGATCCGACAACCAAGTTTCAAAAAAGCATCACATCTTTGTAATCCAAAACATCTGACTTCCTTAATTCATTAAGGAAGTGTCTCTCTCATTGGAGATTGAGAGAGGTGGATTGAAGCGCAGTTACAAGCACAAAAACAAGCGGTTCTTTGTATTTTACTTGGAGAGACATTTAGTATAAGAACAGAAGGTCGTAGGAGACAACAGATTGGGGTGCAGGAGGTAGATCAAGAAGTTTAGTAGGAGACTAAAGGCATCTATGGTAGTAGGAGGCTACAGAAGATAGATCAGGAGGTCTAGCAGGCTAGAGGTATTTACGACAGTAGATCGTGAGACTGTGACAACGGGTCTTAGTGGATACAAGAGTTGGTATTGCTATGTATTTCCTGAACTGTCTATACTGGAGGTAACTGACTTGGTCCCGGAGTTTTTCCTACATTAGGTTTCTCTTTCATCAAATTTTGTGTTCCTTACTTTCGAGCAATTTATTACAAACCATGTTATTCAAACATAGAGTAAATTGAATTGTATGCTTAATAATCTAGAAACTAATTAAAAGCGACGTGTTTACTTTAATTAGTCAATTCTACACTAAGGTCAAACTAATCAGTAATCTAGAACATAAATTTGGTAACACTAAAATTTGAATTGATGGTCACAGCGTCCCGCGAACTTTCAAGTGTTATCACAGCGTTCTAGGCGAGACTTTTCAAAATTGGGAATGGTTCTTAGAACTTTTGACATTTGATACTGGGATGTATAATGCCACGGCTTGGACTTTCATTTTTGGGAAACAGAAAGGCTTGGTAGACTTCATAAAACTGTTATGTGAGGGTGCATAGGTGTTGTGTAAGACATTTATATAGAAATTTTACCTTACTGCATAAGAAACTGACTCTAAAGAGCATGTTTTGGGCTACAACAAGGGCAACGATAGTGCCAAGGTGAAGAAGTAAAATGAATGAGATGAAAGATATGAATGAAGCAGCGTTTAAATGATTCAATGAAAAACAAGTATCGTAGTGGAGAAGATCACATTTCTAGGATCATTCAAAGTGCGACATCCCATTGTATAATTTGTGTGGGACATTCAACTCTTCCATATTAATTGCAAGAAAAAAGCCCATTATCTCAATGTTTAAGAAGATAAGACATAACAAATGTTGAGGATAAATGCTAAAGAGAAGCTGCACAAAGATGGGATCATGCTTTTGGTCGTACAGTTATTAGTATTATTGAGAAAACAAAGGTGGATGCGAGGTTCTTGAAGGCTGATCATCCTGAAAGTGAAAAGTTTGAGGTGAGCAGTAGGGATGGTATGAGATGGAGTGTGGGCTTGATAAAGTGTGAATAAGCATGTAGAAAATGACAGCTTACTGAAATACCTTTGTGCATATGCAATGTCTGGTATGCTATATAGAAACGTTTGCATATATGAGTATGTAGAAGTATGTTACAACAGAGAAGCTTACTTGAGGTCCTATAGCCATTCATCCAACCAATGTCTGGTCTTGGGTTGTGGTCAGAGCTGGGGAAACATTTTCAGAATCCACCTATAAAGAAGAAATAGGCAGTCAGATCAAAGAAATTGAGAAAAATGTCAAAAGTAGAGCCACCTGTAGGCACCAAAATGACAAGGAATAGAATGAAAATGACATGTAAAATATGTGGTGGGACAAGCCATAACAAGAGAACATGTTTTGAAGCAGATACGCAGCAAAATACACAGCCAACTCAATCACAGGGCAAAGGAAGAGAAAGGCCTCTACACGGTAGGATACAACGCTAACTCTATCACAAGGCAAGGGCAAGAAAAAGACTTCTACTCCCACCGAGCCACAAGCAAAAAAGAAGAAAATTGGATATAAAAAGAACATAGCTTCTCGTATGATGATCCTTTTGAACAAACTTTTTGTATGATGAAGTTTTTTGTACGATTACATTTTATAGAACAAAATTGGAATTGCTTCTATATGATGATCAAACGAATTATGATGTAAATGTGAATATTCCAATGAAAAAATTGTTCTTCGTGTCTTCGATTAGTGACTGACGTTGGATCATTGTGTTATGGGTGCTTTAGAGGTGAAACAAGTTTGGAATTGGCAACTAAGTAGCGAAACAGATATTCTGACTCAGGTAAAATGATTGTGACATAAGCTACAACTGCTTAAAAGGTTTGGGACCTACTCTACAACTCATTTAAAAAAATTGGGACTTAAGATATATTCGAATACAAAGGTTTGTGACCTATGCTATGACATAATAAAAGGTCTGGGTCTTTATCAACGATATTGAAACATTTGAGACCTGCAATGCACCATCTACAAAAGGTTTTGAATAGATTTTTCCATTTGTTTTGAAGCATTTGCTCCCATGGGGAGGGAGAATTGTGAGAAATGAAAATTAGAGCAACGCTGTTGAATGATAACCTACTTATTCAATGGAAAATAAGATATAGGACCATAGACAACACCTGATTTCTAATTCAGTCCCAACGTTCGAGTTCAAACTTAACACGGATCTATGCACAGACCCATTACACAAAAACTCCACATATAAATCATAATATCCAAGTCTTCCATGAACCACATCTTCTTGTACGTAAGTTGTTTAGTTCAGCTTCCATCTCTCTTTTAACACATAGAAAACTAAAGTTATCTTCCTCGATTCATCGTACGTTGGAAGGTTGTACCAGTTAAAGAAGCATCCTAGTGAGAAAGCTTCTTGGGTTCAAGTTCGGCCATGAAGTCTTTATTTACATAGGGCCACTGCATCTACAGACGTTGCGCTCCATATTCATGCTGAAAATAATCTAAGATCAATGGAAGAGAGAGAGAAGAATATATAAGACCTGAAAATTGAAGGAAATGAAAAGTAATTAGTATGGTAGATAAGGAAATATAATTTAATGAAAATGCACCTATTTAAATTGGTCAAAATTTGCCTCTTTTCTATTTTTAAGGTCAATTGATGATAGAACTAATGTTTTATGTTTATTTTGGATTGGATTTGCAAATTTCTCAAAGGTTTGGAACCTATGGTGGTACAAATTGAAGTTTGAGTAGCGATATCAATAAGTCGAATTGAGCCAAAACTTGAAACTTGGATTCAGCTCTAGTAAAAATGCTTCAGGGGATTTTTGCCTGTGCCAAGCCGAGCTTTTACTCGACCAAAAAATCTAAGTTCGACTAGAGCTTTTAGCTTAGGTCTTGTCGAGTCGAGCTGTCTCGTGATTTTTTTTATTTATAACGCTCCAAAATGGGGCTCAATCCGAGCTATAAGCCAGGCAGGTTCAAGCTTTTTTGGGACTGAGCCACCAGTTAGCCAACCAAACTGACACTCCTAACTGGTTGAAGAAAAGTTTACAAAAAATGCAAAGTTTCTGTTCAAGCTCTTTTCGGGCTGAGTCACGGGCCATCCGAGCCAATCAATCAAGTTGACACTCCTAAGGATGAGAGAAAGTTTTACAGCAACTATAATTTTCCCAAATTCAACTGCTTATATCAAAGTGGAAAGAAACATAAGTGTAAATTGGATGATCAAGTAGAAATAATTTAAAGTTATATGATCAGCGCGAAAAAAGACTCTGAATTTGGGGATTTCCTCCAAACTCTCCTCCTACCCGAACTGTATATATACACTTCTCCTCTTCCTCTAATCATTATTATTCCCTTGAACACACGCACAAACTATGCATATATACACAAACAAAATACGTACAGGCACTCACACATACTTGATATATACATTTTCAGTTGTTATTTTGGAATTTGCTAGCATTTAATTGAAGGTGAGTTTCAATTTTGTTTAATTGATTTTGAGATTTTGTGAAATTTTTTTTTCCTATAAAGTCTGCGTTAGATTTCGAATGCGATTCGGAATTGCTTTGGGATGAAGTTTCAGATTCTTCTACGTAGTACTATCTTTCATGTATACATTTAAGTGCTTTTGACCTTTACTTGCTGATGCAAATGTAAATTCTCTCTTGGGATTTCTAATGGAAACGATTGATTTACTAGACTTAAGGTCTCTGCAGCGGTGGGTTGTTTTATTTATGTTCGCGTGAGTTTGTTTGTGTTTCAGAAGTGAAATTTTAATCGGAAAGGATTAACAGGAAGGCCTTGATGGATTTTGGAATTCCAAGCAAAATTATTTGAAATTAGGACTTTAGACTGAGGTCTTGATGGGTGAACTAAGAGTGAAGGGGGGGTGAGTATATTCAAATATGAGTGGACTGAATTTTTATAGGAAAGCATATGCGTGGTTAAGATGTGATGTGGAGGTTCAATTTTAGCATTTCTGAATAGGGGGCACTACATAGAATAAAGATCACATTTTCTCTGTGAAATATTTTGTCAAGTGATATGGAAATCAATCAACCCCATGTGCTCTGACTTAATTGTGGTTTTAGACCTATTGGTATTTCTATGAATTCCATTCCCAAGCTCTTGATTCCAAGCCACTAAGAGTGTAAGTTTAACACATTGTGCACATGTACATATAGGGATCAACCATTAAAAAACTTTCCACGTTGATGCATTCTCTAGGTTTATGAAATTATTATTTAGTAATTTCTTAGTGGTTAACATTTTCAAATTCATCTACTATAACAGCGGTTGAAACTTGAGGGATCTTGTTTTTCCAAGAACAATTCTGGAAACTAATGATTTGGAGGAGAAACATTTTTATGAATGATCTGGCTTTATAAGATGGTTAAGGAAAAACTACTGATTTTTGGGTGTTTAGGTTGACAGTTGATATATTTATTCATTTGAAGCTGTCTACGTACTCTATTTTTCATGTGTTAATGTCAATCTAGTTGACTTCACTCCTAGAATTTAGGTACTTCAGGGAACCATCTTATTGATTGCTTTCAGACAATTGTGAATGATTCTTCGAACATATTGCGACGATGCCTTTGACCATTTCTGGATGTGGGAGTTAAGAATTGTTACTAATGCAAAACTCCTTTAGGAACTGTTCGGAACACTTACAGATGTGAAACCAATTTCTGAAACTCAAAACCTCACTATTTTAAACATGGACGGAAAGTGGACTAAGGACCATATTAATAGGAAGTAGGATGTTTCATGTGGATGTGAGCATGCATTAGGATCCATTGTGACAATTGTTGGCATTCTTTTGGATAGTGCATCAGCACAAGTGATGCAGCTATGGGCTAAGCACTTTGGTTTAAATTATGGTTGGAGGTTTCTCTGCTTCCTACCTTCCAAAAAACAAAAATGTTTAATTGTGCCTTCACTGCTCCCCTGCTTCAAAGTTGTTTGGATTTATATTATCCCAATCAAGATATCGCCAATCATTAATATTTCAACAGCATTCAATCTGTGCCAAGACTTAATTGCTAATCATTTAATAAATCATTTTGCTGAAGCTAGATCTTGGTAACTTGATTTACAAGTAAATTAGAGCTAATTATAATCTGAATTGGAAACCATTTTAGAGACCTGATGCAGGACAGGCAGGGGTGGACCCACATGGGGTCAGATGACCCCACAATTTTTTTTCCTCAGAAAATGATTGTTTTTAACCCGTTTTTGATCCACTTTAATACGTACCAAATGAAATTGAAATATTGCATTCTTAATATCATTTCTAAGCACTTATGGTCTAGTTTTTTGCTTTTTAATGGTGTGCGAAATGATCAACCACAGCAAAAGTTACGATGTATCAAAGTATGCTATTCCAAATTAATATTTCGAAAATTTTGATAATATGCTAACTTTTAAATTTTGCCAATGATCATATACTATCAAAAACTACAAATCACTTGCATCATCTAGAAGTTCGTTATGAAAACTACGTCGTAGTTATATTGAATAGTCTAAACAGATATTAAAAATAGTTAAATATGCGTCAAATGTACGTATTAAAAGAGACGTTTAACTCGTATTTTTTTTAAAAAAAGTTAATTATTTCATTAACGTTAATTATTTTTTCACAATAAATTTTTCAATATAATTTACATCATTTTATTAGGAAATTTTACATTAAATATGATGTCAAAAATTCTAAAATGGTTACGGATTAAATGTAATTTGAATAATTTTCAAATTATTTTTTCATTAGACTTAAATTTCATTTACTTCTTACATCCAATCTGATTTACTCGTCGTTAGCTCAACATCCATAAATGACATGGTAAACAAAACTATATATGTAGCAAAATTCATTTAAAATATTGATAATGATAGAATTATAAGACACTTTCAATATGTCAAAATAGGTATTAACTTATTTTTATAAATATTATATTGTTTTAAAAAGTTACACATTAATTTTTAGAGCTAAGCACAACCCGCGTGGATGAACTTGCAAGTGACCGCGCCCTCACATGTCCAACGGAGTCCCCATGAATAAAATAATTCGGACCTTAAGTGTGTATGTGTTGTGTCAACTCCGCGGTCATTCATGTGGGCATTGTAGCACGACTCTAATTTTTGACCCCACAATCCAAAACGACTGGGTCCGCCCCTGAGGACAGGAGAAAATAATTGAAGATATTAGAATTTCCCATCAATGCTTCATGTAATCTTTTGAAGTGTTATGTAGGATATCATTTCTTTTAGTAATTTATATGCTGGAGCTGAATACTTTTCTGCGATCCAGTTTTGGCCTTATGATTATTACTGTTGCATTAATGCTTATGATATTTGGAGATCATTACTTTTTGGGCAATTTTTTTTTTTTTTCTATTATTGAGTGGATTAGTTATGCCTTTTCATCCCCTGTAGCTGGGAGCTGTGTCGATGCAAGCTTAGCTGGGCATCACCATAGTTTTCTTCGCCAAATGCATATCTTGAGTTGCTTAGCAGTCTTTGAAACAAATAATAATGTATGAGCCAGAATCAGATGCTGCTTCTTGGGATCTTTTTAACTTGGACCAAATCTTCAATAATAATTACTATGGGGACCACACTCAACATGATGTGAAAATCTGCCGTGAATGGTATGCAAGTGATAGTCATTGTGATACAGAGCATGATAACATTGACTCTGATGAGAGTATTGCACATGCTCTTCTTCAAGAAGAATTATCACAATTGTCAATTGCAAAACCTCCTGAATTATCATGTTCCATGGAAGACTACTCTCAAAACTCCAATGTTGTCCCGAATTGGCAGAGCCCTTCAAGTAACTATAATCCTGGTTGTTGCTCCTGTGATCTCTGCTTGTCTGATATATGATAATCCACACTGATACATTTCTGATAGAATCTACAGACTCTGCAGGACAAGATTGTCTTAGGGAGACTGATGACGTGGGAAGTTTATGCTCCAGTCCTGGTGATAGATCATGTGATGGAGAAGATTATTCTTATACTTTGGAAATTACAGATGAGTCAGAGGTTGATGGAGAAGTTGAAAAGAGGTTATACCAAATGGTTCCTGTTCCTGTAAGTATAGGTTCTGTGCAGACTTTTAGTGCCGTATAGATCTTGTGACTCACTTCAGCCTTTCAATTCTTGGTTTCTTTAACGTTGTTGATTATAATAATGCCTGGTGACAGTTACCATATTGGCGTAGTAATACAGACAGTGCTTGCAATTGCAAAGTCCCGTTAAAAATTCAACGCACTCCTTCTTATAGAAATTATACAAAACAGGATTACAATTTTATCTTGTTTAATAGTGTCTTATCTTCAACTTTAAATTTCAAAAATTATATATCAGTGTTAGAAGTTATATAATTTTTTTATTTTATTTTATTTTTTACTTTTTCATTTTATTTCTAAAATTGTGATTATTATGAGTAGAATATCAACAACTTCTTGCTTTATTTTCCACGTATGAAGTCCATGATATCTTGTACTATGTATAGTTCTATTAATGTCTTAGCATCTGATTTTTGTTTGATGATATGTTATTCCAATAACCATTTTCATTTGCACCTCGTAACCATTGGTAAAAAATATGTTCAGACCCTGAAGGGGCTCTTCTGCAAATCCTGATATGGATTCTTAGCTTGCTTCAGAATCAGGACCTCCATCAATACCCAAGCAAATAAATATATCCTGAATCTGTTTTATGCTATTAATTAAACATATCTGGTGCACCAAATATATGAAGAAATAGTGCAATTGAAACTTTTCAACTTTCGACAATCAGTTGACATAGTTTTATTTTTGTGTTCTTGTATGATATCAGTTTTTAAAGTAGCAATTATTCATTTGTTAATGCAGCATGTTCCAAGAATTAATGGAGACATACCTTCAGTTGATGAAGCAACTTCTGACCATCAAAGGCTGCTACATAGGTACTTGTAGTTCATGTGCATGCATGTTTGTGTGGGTAGCCACCTTCAACCCCCTTCCCCTTAAATGTAGCAACTGCTGCAAAGGTATCTGTTTCGAGCATGCAGAGTAAGGTCAGAAAGGGGAGGGAGACTCAACTTATGGCTGAACGAAATGACTTCCCTTTAATGGCCAATCTATCTTTTTACTAATGGTACTACTGGCAAATGAAAGACCTTAACCAAAATCTCTCTTAATGCACATTTGAATCTGGAACTGGCTTAATTACCATAGTTGAGGTCCTTGAGGACATGGAATGGGCTAAGAAAATAGAGATAGCCAGTGTTTGAATACTTTCCAAATCCCTCATCACCCCTAAAGACTAGAACTATGACTTCTTGACAGTGTATGATGACTTACCCACTGGTTCCAAGCCTTGGTATCTTGCTATGGTGGTTGTTGAAGTTACTGAGAAATACATGAAACTCCTTCATGCACTCATGGGCTAAGAAAGTAGGGGATAGCCAGTGTTTGAATATTTACCGAATCCCGTCACCCATTAAGACTTTAACTCTTGACTGCTTGCCAGTGTTTGATGACTTACCCACTGATTCCAACCTCTCTTGATATGGTGGTTTTTAAAATTACTGTGAAATACACGATAATCCATGCACTCTGGCCAATTTATGGTTTGTTAGATATAAGCCTTTTCACTCTGGCCAAATTTTTATTTTGTTAGATGTAAGCCTGTTTTCTGTTTGTCCTGACACATCATGCATATCAACTATGGTTCACTTGGGTTTTTGCAGATGGTACGACCTAAATTGCATTGTTTGTTTCCATGAGTTATGCATTCTGTCATGCTTCATGATAGTGAATGAGCAGAACATATGATCAGGATTTAATGTTGGATGGTGTTTGGTTTCAGATTGCAGTTATACGACTTGGTTGAGCACAAAGTTCAAGGAGATGGGAACTGTCAGGTCAATTGATACCTTTTTCCCGAAAACATTTTTTTGATGACTGTGTCCTAAAGGAAGTCTCAGACTCTCAAGTAAAATGTTCCCAGAGTCATCTCTTTGGTTATATCTAATGCAAAAATTAATTGCTGGGAAGAAGAGCTATGTTTCATACAACTTATTCACTTCCATAGCATACAGCTTTTATGTAGTATGCAAATCATTTTTGAGTAGCCCACTAAAAGACATCAAGAAAATACTTAAGTCTTCTTTATTATTTTTACATTAATATGGATTTGAATGGCTGTATTGTTGATTGTTTCACAATAAAATTAACGATTTGCTAAAAAATCTCTAGCGAAGTTTCTCCATCATGTGTCCTTTTCATCCATTCTGCTTGTCAAATGATTCTTTATCAGAATTTGTTATTTTGTCTTTCATGTCCCAGCATGCTTTTGTTTGGACAGTTCTGTTTGATCTTGAATTCTATGCTTGAATTTGGAAATATGTTGGCTTTTATCTCTCTTATAAGTTTTGATTGCATTAGAAACGTAAGTCGTGGTATGTTTGATCTTGTGGAGTTGTTCTGGTTACTTCTGCTTTAGCATAGCAATGAGAAATTTTTTATATGTTTCCATAACATTTGATTTTTTATTTAGATAATTACACTTTACCTGTCCTCTCTTTCCTCCAGTTCTGTGCTTTATCTGATCAATTCTATCGGACTCCTGAGCACCACAAATTTGTGAGACAGCAAGTTGTTCATCAGGTTGTCTGGTAGTTATAAATTTTTCTTTCATGATTTATTTCTTGCTGTATACTTGGGTTCTTTCTTTCAGTTCATCTAATGCTTCTGTCTTCCTATAAATTGGTTGTGTATTTTCAGCTTAAAGCTCATCCAGAAATGTACGAGGGATATGTTCCCATGGAATATGGTGAATACCTGAAGAGGATGTCCAAGTACCCTTGAAGTCTTTGCCTTGTTTCATTATGCCAATAGTTAAATTTCTTTTCCCTTTACTGGTAATTGCTTTAATGCTTACCTTTGAATATTTAATGAACAGGTGCGGGGAGTGGGGTGATCACGTCACACTGCAGGCTGCTGCTGATTCAGTATTTATTACCATACCTTTTTTATCATTTTTCATCCATTTAAATGACGGAATATCTTATTAGAACTGACCAATCCTATCTTTCTTTTCTATCAGTATGGTGTGAAAATTCTTGTATTAACTTCATTTAAAGACACCTGTTACATTGAGATTCTTCCCAAGGACCAGAAGTCAAAAAGAGGTAACTGTTTGGGTTTCTTAATACTGCCTTATTATCTGTTACACAAAATAATAGTTGTAGTTCTTGCCAATGATTGATAGATTATTAATCATAGGCTAGCCGGGTGATTGACAGTCGAGATTCTTGTTGTTTTAATGCTTTGACGACATGCTTCATGCTGCAATAATATTTCCATCTATTTGGGAAAGAGAAATATCATTAATCCATACTACTAAGAGCAATTAGTAACCTGAAACAGGAACCGAAAGAAAGAGGAGCACACAATTTAAGGTGGTTCACTCGCAATGCGAATGTTACATCGACTTGATGCTGCTGCAGAATTTTATATATCAAAGGAGAGAATTATAACTTGTTTGTAGACTCGTGCCTCTCTTTGTTTTTTCTCTGCTGCCAAAAGAGTCTTGCCTTAATACCCGTTATATAGGAGGAAATATTAGGTTGACCTTATACATGTGCGAGTTTCTAACTTATCCCTATAACGTTAAAAAGTTTTCACCCCGGGAAAAGTGTGTAGTATAATCGAGCTCCACACATTGAACAATGTTTAGAGCACTTGGAATGCTCACTCGTGAAAATAGTGTGAGAATTTCAATACTCGTTGGAAAATGGCCTTTGCACTTCAAAACAAAAATAATGTATACCAAGTAACATTGTGTGAAACTCCACTGATTGTTTGTTAATATTGAATAAACTCCAACTCTGTACACACTCCCTCTGCTTCTCAATGAGAATTGTTCTAAAGACCTCATATTTTCTATTTTCTAAATTGCAAGTTATTTAGTTATTTATCATTTATTTTTATTTTTATTTTTTGCTGGGTAGGTGGATTTGGATGTTTATGAAAGAAGTAAGTGTATGGAGTAGTTTAGACATTCACTCTCAACTCTGTAAACGCAGTTTGCTCACGTATGATTGTGTTGTACACCTTATTCATTTTTCAATTTAAGAATCTGTTTTTTTCACACGATCAGGCATAAGACTCTGATTTTGCTGAATCTTATTTCTTCCTTGGCATGGTTTATCACCTTAGTTATGTCTGTCTTGCGCAGTCATATATTTGAGTTTCTGGGCTGAAGTACATTACAACTCAATCTATCCTCGAGGTAATCGCTCTCTTTTGATTTGATTAAAAGATCTAAAAGACAATGGGGATAATAGGAGATTTTCACATGCAATTTGTGTTTAATGTTAACCTAACTTTTATAAACAAGGGTTTTTTGCATGACATTATGCATCATACTGAACTTTCTAAATCACTAATATATGAAATCCAAAAGTTATGTTTTCTGCTTTTATGTCCATACTAATCCAATTAAGTTATATTTCATTGTTCAGATTTGCCCCCTAGTGATTTTAAGAAGAAGAAGAAGTGGTGGAACTTTCGTAACAAGCATTAGAAGTATTTAACCATATGAACTACACTCCGAAAGTATTTAGTTCCCATTTCGGTTACATCTCCATAATCTTTCTTTGGTTGATTATGCTGTATCTCTGTTTCAGTTGTACAGTTATCATGGCGAAGAACTTTAGTACTGTTTTTTTTCCTTTATCAATCACTATATATTTTTTCTGTACTCATATAATCATATATTGCAAGCGTGGTACTGTTTTTGTGTGCTTCTGACATCATCGATTCATATGACCAATTTTAAATTGGTGAAGGTGGTTTGAATATGAAAATTTTATTCTTCACGAATCACACAGTAGAGTACCACAAAAGGAAATTTGGTGGTCCACAAATGCACCGCCTTGCCTTTTCATACATACTGGGTTCCATGGCAGTGTTGTGGTCCACCATGAAATAAACTATATTTGACTAAGAAATCCTTCTACTAGCCATTTGAATGTGCCATCACATGTCCAAATAGCTTGCTAGAAATAGAAAGGCAGTCATATTTCAACTGACTGAATCCCAAAACTTGCAAGGAGAACTCCAATCATTGTTTCTTGGTAGTTGGCTATGGCAGCCCAATCTCTTTCACAAAACAAGTAAATTTTGCTTTCAATAGCTGATTGAACTGTTAGTGCAATTTTGGCCAAACAATATTTTAAACGGTTTTGCTATATGTACATCAAGTTTGACATAGTGTAAGGTATCAACTTTTTGTACATTGATTTTAACGATACTTTTTTCAATCAATGGCCAAATTTCATCCACACGAGGGAAATGTCACCCACAGTGTAACCCAAGAATATACAACTAGCATGATTGTATCTTAAAGATCCTTTTGATTGCATATATATAAAAGGCAAACCAATCTCGTGTACGTTGAGAAAGAAAAAATACCAAAATCATAGAAATTCGATTTCCACTCAATTGGCCAAAAATATGTTTTAAGTATTTGTATCTTAAAATTCGAACTCCATTTTCACTTTCATATCGAATAGTTAAAAGTAAAAAACGAATTTGACGAAAGTAATATTTTTCATGAAATTTAATGCTATCAAACGGATCCTAAATTCTTTTTCTTAGTACCTTCCAATTCTATCAAACTTTGAAACCATCGTAAAGGTATTTTATTTCCTTCGAATTTAGTAGCAATAAATACAATAGAATACTCTAATGAATTGGAACCCATTAAAGAGGTTAGTATTCAACTTTTTGTCTTGTTGGAATGGGTGTGAAAAGAAATTTTTGTGCAAATAGGAGCTGATATATATAATTATCAATAGTGTACATATTTCTCATGCTCGTTCATCATATGACCACATACAGAATTCGTATAATCGAAACGAGATGATAACCATTTTCAACTTATTCCTTAAATGGTCCAATTATGTTTTACCTATCCATTAATGCCACTAAATTACCGGTATCTACCGATCCTCAACCACTCCACGGTGCCTCTCTTCCGCTTCCTCCTCCTCCTCAGCCGCAGGCTGCAGTAGCAGAGCTGTGAACGGCATATGGCGATACGCATTGGGATCAAACTCCAGCCCCATCGGTGGAGGCGATGCCTGGCAGAGGTCCAGCCTACAGCTCGGCGGAAGCATTGGTTGCAATGACCTATTCACCGGAGCCTGTACAGAAGCGGGGGAGCGGGACAGGGGAATGGTGGGGGCGGTGGAAATTTTGTCAGCAGGTACAGTTCCGGTGCCGGTGGCGGCGATGATAGCAGGTTCGGCTTGGCGGAGAAGCCATTCGATAGTCTCCCCCTCAGAGCGGTGGCCAAGCTCCCTCGTCAACTGGAACACGCGGGCGGCGCACAAAGCCGGTATTCTCACGCGGCGGCCCCGGCCATTGACTTTAGTGTGCCTGTCCTTCGTTGATAACGGAGATCCATTTGCAGTTTTTGAAAGACCCAACTTAGTTTTAGCAGGTTTAGCAGCAGATGACTCAACTGCAGCTGCGGTGGCAGGATGTGGAATGACAGCCCTGAGTGGCTGAACAAGGTGATGGCGGGAGGGTTGCACTGGCATCGGGCTGTGGTTATCAGAGGAAAGTTTGTCGAGGGCCGTTTCCGAAGCCATTTTAGGGGCGGAGCGCGGTGGAGAGAGGAAAAAAGAGAGAGACTAGGGTTTTTGTACTCAGGAATTAGGATTTTGAAAGTGAAACCGAGTTCATGTGATGGTTAGGAGACTAATGGCCCCACAAAAGACCGAGTGGGGTCCGTTTTCTAGGTGTTAACATTATGTATGTTTTGGCGTATGGGCTTTGGGCCCACAGTTTCAGACTATTGGGCCCACTAGGGTCTTTGCCAATATCTTTGTGTGCATCAGTCATCATGGGTCCCACGAGACACGTTTATAATTGCATTGCATTTTTATTTTTAAAAAATAGACACATTGTTTTGTGAATTTTGCCGCTTTGCTCGAATTTTTTTATCATATTAGTTGGCACCCTCTCACATGTGCTTAGGTTCCGCGTAAACAAAAAAGTTCAAAAAAAGAAGTGGGGCCACCATTGTAAAAATTGGTCACCCCCTCTATGATGTCAACCATTTTCCATCACTGTAGCGAGATTATTTTTTTGTATAGTACTTAGAAGTGGTGGAACTTCCTGAAATTTTTTTAAAGTAATTTGGAGTATGGAGTATTCAATACTTTGTGTCACTATTTAAAAATTGAGATTCATATATATACACATGTTAATTATATAGTTAAAGTGATTACTAAGTTCTATAATTTAGGAGTATTAGAAATTTTCCTCGTCTTATTAAATGCTTGAGAAATAAATAGTAAGTAAGTTTTTTGCTCGACCTTTGTCCAGGGGACCATTGCCCTTATTTATGTCTCTAACCGAAGGCTTGCCTCCCTTCGTCTTTCTCTTACCTAAACAATCGTTACTTTTTCCTGATTGGTAAATGATTTAGTGCTAATGTCAGCGGTGCCACTTATCTTGTTTGAAGTATTTACTGCAGGCTGCTAGCATTATTAGGGAGCAAACATTCAGTTTGGTATAATTATGTTTTTTTTTTCTATGTTTCAGGGATTCTTTGTATATTACAATAACTCAAATGAAGCAAATGGGATTCAATTATGCCATGGGTACAGATTTTTTGAAAGAAAATTTTGATAGAAAACACTTGGTGAGACACCATTGGAAGATGGGAAAACATAGAAAAAAAAAGGACTAATCAGGTTTGGCCACTTCAGCATCGGTATCCACTCTTAAAATTTTCCTGTACTTGGAGCTTTATTGAATGGGATTTCATAAGTTCTGTATCACATATTATTGATAGCAACATGTTTGGCTAAGCTTAAAAGTAAGTAAAAGTAATTTCTAAATGAATTTTTGTTTTCGGAGGTACTTTCTTTTCTGCATTTCCCCTATCATGTTTCTGTTCTCATAATTACTTTATAAATTTTACATCTAAAAAATCTTACTGTTGGAGTCAAAAATTTTCACCATGGGGTAAAAGATCAATGAGGTCAACCTGAATCCGTCAACCTGAATCCTGGATAAGCAAACTAAAAGGAGGATGTCAAAATCAAGAGGTGAACTCACATGTATTAGATTTATACTGTTCACTTATCCCTCAATCGCAAGGATTGACGAAGTTGCCTAAAGAGGCCTTTTTTTCGAGATACGACAAAATATGTAATCTCTTTGCCAGGACGTAGCTCTAATGAACAAACATATGATGATGCCAGTCGTCAATTGCATATTAACCGGGACTAGAAATTACTATATGCCAATTGCTTGTGTTTCACATTGCTAACCAGTACTCAAGGCATAGTTTCGCAGGTTAATTGAAGCTCGTAATGTTAAAAACCTAGTAAGTTGCCATCAAGCTCCCTTCCAATGGGGGGGGTGCCACATGGGCCTGTCACCCCCAAAGGGGGGGGGGGGGGGGCGCCACATGGGCCTGTCACCAAAATTATGGCCAAATTGTCTTTAACTCCAGCAAGTTTGTTAAATGAATACTTTTTTGTTGAATCATGTGTACAAAACAGGTGTTGGGCCAACTTGCAACTTGTCCAATTAACGTTCAGAAGTAGGGCTGGGCAAATCTCCCGAATCAAATCGAACTCGACGGTTCTTGTTAAATTAAATACTCAAAAGGGTATCTGAATTGAGAACCGACGGGTACGGTTGGGTTCTCGGTTCTAGACCAAGAACCGAAAAATCGAATAAGAACCGAATCTTTCTAATTTTTTATTTTTTTTAGATTGAGTAAATCAAATTATTTTAATTTTAATTTTTTTTAAACAAATTAACAAATTAATGATTTCTAAATCCAAATTTTTGGCTCAATAATTTGTTTCATTTCTAATTTTTTAATTTTTGGCCCAATTTTCATTTCTTAGCAAAACAAAGATCAAATCCACTAAATAACCCTAAACACCTACAATAAAATGCATAACTTTGTCTCGACTCTCGCACTCACTCTCGTAGCCTCGCTAATATTCCAAAACCTATACAATCGTCGGCCGACATTCTGACCTCCGATCGAAGCTGTGACTTTCGCCGACCGAAACTTTGATCGTAGCGATCATTTGAACAAAGTAGTTTACTAGTCTCTGACATTCTAAAACCATTGAATGTATCATTAGTCGTATTTATATAACGTTGTTATAAATGTTAAAAAATTTAATTATAGTACAGAACCGAACGGAACGGAACCGAACCGAACCGAACCGAATCGAACCCAAAAGGTTCCATAATTATATTTGGACCCGAGGTTCCATTTATTAGATACCCGAAAAGTTTGGTTCGGTTCGGTTCTCTGGTTCTAAAGAGAAACGAACCGAACCGACCCGCGCCCACCCCTATTCATAAGCAGATTAAATTTTGAGTATGATCAGCATATCTTAATGCCCCGTTTGCATAGATTTTAAAAGTAGAAATAAACTTTTTGAGACTCAAAATTTACTTTGAGCCCATTTGATTAATTTTATAAAATTGCTTCTAATTAGAAGTTCAATTGGTTCATATGACTTCTAAAAGCTCTTTAAAAATTAATTTCTAAATACTGATTAAAATAACTTTCTCGAAAATCTCTTGCCCCTATCCAGATTCTTTAGTCCAAAGGTTAGCTTAATCATAAGATGACATGAAACACATGATTCAAGGAGTAGCACTGCTGGATTGAAAAAACATAATGGGTTAAAAACTATTCAGGAGAACGCATAGATGTTAATGTTACAGAACCTCTGCTTTAGGATCAAATCAGCCAAATCAAACAGGATGTGGGTGTTGAAAACAAATTCAGTTTTCACAGAAAAAGAAGTAACAATAATAATAATGATAAAGAAAGTCATAATAATTCTCACTTTTTTCCAATCTTCAAAGTACTAAATTATGCAACGTTAATACAGCTTAATACAATAAAATCCTTTTCTGCAAACATTAATAAAACAGCCAAATCAAACAGGATGTGGGTGTTGAAAACAAATTCAGTTTTCACAGAAAAAGAAGTAACAATAATAATAATGATAAAGAAAGTCATAATAATTCTCACTTTTTTCCAATCTTCAAAGTACTAAATTATGCAACGTTAATACAGCTTAATACAATAAAATCCTTTTCTGCAAACATTAATAAAACATAGGCTGGAAAGAGTAAGTTGATAAACGACCTAACTATATAGGTCATCTTCATCAGCTGCACCGGCAGGAGCAGCAAAAGGGTCGGACCCAGTAGCACCAGCATTGTTCTCAGCAAATCGGAATTCAGTACCGAACCCTCTTGACTGCTGCAACGTCTGAGCAAATGCCTGGTACTTGCGAATGTCAGCATCACTGACACTCCTCCGAGCAAACTTCATTGATTCTTCAAAATGAGCAGGTTTAATCTCTGCCACTTCTTCTTCGACATCCTCCTCCATGGCCTCAGGATTCTCACTTCTTCTCTTCTCCCTCTCAATATCCTTCAAAGCACAAACACAAACTCCAATCTTTAGAATTATACGTCTATTAGAAATATTACACAGCATTCAAAATCAATATTCAACAGCACAATTAACCATGAAAGACAGGAAAACTGATGAAACCTACTTTCTCGATGTTCTCTCTGATAGCATATTTGACTGCACGTTGGCATATTTCAGTAATGTCAGCACCACTGAAACCCTGAGTGTACTTAGCAAGGGCTGTCAGGTCTACATCTTTGGAAAGAGGGGATTTTCTCAAGCAAGCCTTAAAAATCTGAAGGCGTGACTCCTCATCGGGAAGAGGAATGTAAATCAATTGATCAAGACGTCCAGGACGAAGAAGTGCAGGGTCGATTATATCAGGCCTGTTGGTGGCACCAATAATGAAGACAGTTTTCTTCGCATTCATTCCGTCCATTTCTGTTAGAAGCTGATTCAATACCCTGTCAGCAGCACCCCCAGCATCTCCTACACTGCTTCCTCTCTGCAAGAAAAAAGGAAAAGAAAACCGTGTGAATAAGGAACTAGAACCTCATGCAGAAAATACAATTCACATCTGAGAGGAGTGATACGTGCCTGAGTAGCAATGGAATCCAATTCATCAAAGAATAGGACACAAGGAGCAGATTGGCGAGCCTTGTCAAAAATTTCTCTAACATTGGCCTCACTCTCTCCAAACCACATAGTGAGCAATTCGGGACCCTTGACACTGATGAAGTTTGCCTGACACTCATTGGCAATAGCCTTGGCCAGCAAAGTCTTTCCACATCCTGGGGGACCATAGAAAAGAACTCCCTTTGAAGGTGACATGCCAAACTTCTCAAACTTCTCAGGATGCTCCACTGGATATTGAACAGTCTACATAACAAGAAGTGCATCCAAAAGTTAAGTTTCAAAGAGAGATTTCTACTCTGTAAAAATAAATTTGGTTAATATAATAAATACTGAAACCAGGATCCATAGACCATGAATAACATAGTACCTCTTGCAGCTCGCGTTTAATATTCTCGAGGCCTCCGATATCTTCCCAACTAACATTGGGTACTTCAACAACCTGTAGCATCCAAAGACGTAAAATTAGGATCTGTTGAGCATGAATCAAACAGAAGAGAAGAATTTTGAAAAAAAAAAAAAAATACACTTACTGTTTCACGTAGAGCAGAGGGGTTGCTAGTTCCAAGAGCAGTCTGGAAGTGCTCATTTGTAACCGCCATGGAGTTGAGTATCTCTGCATCAATG